CCGCCCCCTTTCCCCCGGTAGCCCCGCTAGTTGCAACCAACACGGCCGCGCTCTGTCCTGGGGGCTCTGCAGCCACTTCGGGGTTGAGCGAGTGAAAAGAGCGGGGTTTTGTAGCGTAAATAAATCATCCCGGAGCCATGTTGGCGTTTGGAGCTTTCCCGGTGGTGCAGGGAAGGTGTTTGGGCTTTCAAATTCCGAGTCTGTTGTCATGTCAGGGAGGTAGAGGATGAAAGAGGAGCTCGGTCAGGTGGGAAAATCATCCTGCGGGGATGGTGTGGCTGGTTACATCCTATGGGAAAGGGGCGGCAGCTTTTCCCTGGGCTTTAAAACTTTATGCAGAGTTTTTCCAAAATCTGTAAGTGATCAGGTGGGGGGAAATTGATACTGAGGCTTGAACAGCTCAACTAGAAAAATGAGCTTGTTTGGATGTAAAAACCTACATATCTATAAACAGCCAAAGTCACTCGCCGCAAGAAAATAATGATTTTCATAGCGGCAAGCAGGGAATGACACACGAGTTGGTGTTTGTAACTGTAGGAAAAAAAGGGTCAATGCAGGATGTGTAGGCAGGTGATGTTTACATCCAGGTGTGGCATTGGCAAGGCTGGTGCTGCGCATCTAGGTTTGGTATCCACTTTTCCTGCTTTGTAATTAAGAAGCCGATAATGGAAAACGGCAGAGGATGTAGAAAAGTTGTAAAGGGATCAGAGGTCCAGAAGCAGAGCCTTGCAGCCCGTGGCCGGAGCTGGGCTTGGTTAGAGCACTGTAACGTGGGCTGTGGTTTTGTTATGCTGTGCGGGGCTTTGAAGGACCTGCTCCGAGGACGTGGCTGCGGCGGTTTGAGGTGCTCTGGTCACTGGTTGTCGTGTAGGAAGGTCACTGAAGGCACGCGTGGCCCCGCTGGGCCGGTGCCGGGCTTGACGCCACGGCCGCGGTCGCTGCAGAGGGTTGGAGAAACGACACCGGCCCGGGGCCGAGCGCCCGCCCTGGGTTCAGGCTTCTGCTTTCTGCCATGTCGTTGGCACCTTCCGCTTGAGCGAGTTTAAGCTTTGACAACTTAAAATAGCTTAGCAGACCTGAGTGGGGGACTGATCTGGGTGGGGGAGGAAAAAATTAAAAAGAAGTCACTCTTCAGCTGGGTAAGTCCCTCCAGCCACGCAGTGTGCAGCTGTAGAACAGCCGGGCCGGGGCGGAGGCGGGAGGTGAGGACCGAGGGGACGCTGGAGTCCCGGGGCCAACTTCTCTGTCCCTGCGGGAAGAGAAGTGACAGTGCTGGAGCAGCTCCTCGGCAAAGGCACAGGGGACTGAGCAGGTGGAAGCCAAGGACAGCCAGATACAGATCAGACACGAGAGAGGCCCTTTAGAAAAGAGAAACGGCAGCTCCACAGTCCCGGGGCTGGCTGGGCAGCCTGCCAGGGCCCGTGTCCCTGCCGCCTGCTGCTGCGGCGGCCCCGCTGCCACCAGATCAGCACAGCTCTGCTCTTGGGCCGGCCAGAGAACTCATCCAGGTTCCTTTTTATTTTTTCCGGATTATTTTTAACCTGGGCAGCTCCCCGATCTGGTTTCCAGCCTAGGTCACAAGGTTTTCCCACACGGTTGAGGAACGGTGCTCCGTGTCACAGGAGTGACTTCGAGGGGCAGGAACTGCAGAAATGCTCTAGTGGTACTTTGAACCACACTTTGGGAAGCATTAAACAGTGGGACAGACTGTCAAAGCAGGTTTCAGACTCTATCCCAGGGACTTTTTGTGAAGCCTGAGAGCTTTTTTTGTACCATGTACCACCTCAGACATACTTCATTGTTTTCTGTGGCCAGAATCTCTTAGATAGTGTACAGTATGAGCTCTCCTAGCTTGAATTTGCACAAACCTGATGGCTGGAGTAATGAAATATTTCATATAAATTGGCAGCCAGGGGGAATCCAGCTCACAGGTGGATTGTATTTTTTGCCAGCTCTTTGTTACCCGCACCAGCTTCTTAACCTCTGCAGAACTGTGGCAGAGGAAGATTCATCCGGTGAGGGGAGTTTTCTGTAACCGACTTATCTGAGATTTCTAGAGCTGCATAGGCTAGACATATTTTTTCCAGGACTAGCACAGAACTTTCTAAGATAACCAGGTTTCCCAGTGCAGGTACAAGCACTGTGAGGTACAAGATGTTCTCCGAACGCGTGTAGGTGGAGCATTTCGACACAGCGGTGGCTCTTTCTCTCTGGTGGCTACAGGCTTCGAGTGAACAGGGAGCACATTGGAAATGTTCTTTGTGGAAATGTGACTAAGAAAACTAATCGAGTTTTTGGAAAAATGTAAATATCTAGGTCGTGCAGAGGGTTTTCTAGCCAAGCACGAATTATGCTGTTAACCTTCCGTGGCTTCTGGGTTTCACTGATACTATGCAAGACCCTCATCTTGTTTTTTCTGTCTTATTCCACAGCTGTCAGTGTCCTAGGATGTGCATTTAGACTTAGAAACAGACCAGATAGAGCCCTTTTTCTTGCTAGACCCTTACAGTTTTAAAGGAAAGCTGATGAAATTTTACAATCACAGAGATTACTGTATCTCATTTGTGTTTGGGTTCTTGCTCTGAAGGTGGTAGTTATGTGCCATACAATTAAAGACAGCAAATTCAAACTGTGTCTTCTTTCAGGTAGCTCTGAAACTGGTACAGATGGCTGAGCTGGTTCAGAGGGAAGGCAGCAGCTACCCAGCGCAAGCGGCAGAGGCTCCTGGAACGTGTGCACAGCTCTGAAGCAGGAGGTAGAGAACATTTATCTTTTCTGGCACACCTCTGGTGCAGAGGTGAAATATTCAGGGTCTCGAACACCTGCAGAGTGCTCTGAGCTGGGCTCCTGCACCCCGAGGGGTGGGAGCAGCCGTCAGGTCACGCTGGTTTGTGCCAAAGTGGCACCTCAGCAGTTCTAGTCCTTTATTGTTCTGCTCTGGCCGAGTAGATTCAGCCTGCACAAAACTGAATTCTGTTCTTGATGGACATTTCCAAACCTCATATTGACAGATTTTCTCGGAGTCATCCCATTTCCTGGTGTTTTCCATCCTGAGGGAACCATTCCTGGGATTGTGAGTGATGCTGTAGTTACAGTTCTTGTTACTTCAGCTATTCATAACGTTCAGGGGTGCACTTTCTTAATGGGGGTTGGTTAGTTCCCTCGTAGTTGCACATCCTGCCCACAACTGGCACTCGTGTTGATGTGCAGGCAGGAAGTTCCTCCCTCTGAAGCAATCATGGAGTGAGAAAGAGCTTGAGGGTTTGATGCTATTTTAAGAAGAGTTTCTCAGGCAGCTAAATTCAGTGCAAGAGATCTTTTCTGAGGTGTTTAGTTCAGCTAACCATTTACCAGTTTAGGTGGTGGTAGAACCGTGTAAAAATGCAGTATTTTACCACCGGGACAAACACAACTCAAGAACAGCCTGCTAAGAGAGATTAATGGAGATTTTCAGCAGCGTGAAAGCCAGCAGAGCGTACAGGAGGTATGTTTTGTTGAACAGAAAATAGTCTGAACTTCCATTTATCAATGGATGAGAGTGTAAAAGGAGGAAAAAAAAAAAAAAAAAGATAAAAATTGCTCATTACTGTAGAAAACTTAATAATCCAGAGAAGCAGAATCTGCCCCACAGTAGAAAAGTGAAAATGCTGTGACTAATCACACCCTGAAGAGAAGCAGCGTCTGTTGCCTTCCTGAAAAAGGTGCAGCGCTGCCGATAAGGGCAGGTTTTCCTCCTCAGCCCCGCTGACCCATGTGTGGTAACTCAGACTGGTTTGCTGGGAGACGGCCTTGCTCGTGCACCAGGTTGGTGGCAGAGTGGATGAAAAAATAGAAGAGAACCTTAGTTTTGCTGAGAAGCTCTAGAAGGGAATTTTGTGTGAGCAAAGATCAAGAGCAAGAGAGAATAGACTGTGAAGAACGTGAAGAAAGGCGATGAGGAGAGATCCACAAAACCCACGGGGAAAGGTGAGGTATTTAGAGCTACAAAGAGACTCCTACCCGCAATATTTCAGGAGAAAATGCATGTAACGGGTAACACTGGCTCTTAATAGTTACAAAAACGTAATTCAGAAAAAGTTTAACAGGATTTTGTTCAGATAACAGGGGTTAAGGGAGAAAAGAACAAAACACATTCTGGAGCTGGGAGTTGCCCACGTCCGTGAACACGCATCTTCACGTGTTTATAACCCTTGCTGAACGCTCACACGTCTTTGTGTGCACGGGTGAAAGATGCAGCGTCGTAACCCCAACCCTTGTGTGCTTGCAGGTGAAGATGTTTTGCTGCTGAAGCAGTTTGCTCACAGAGGGTTCCAACAGAAAACGGCACCAGGACAACATCACGGCAAGACGCCTGCAGGCTCGAGTTCTGCTTGACATGGCCATGTTCTACTAGACCTGCCATGACGGCATTTTTTCCCAGTGTTCCCAACTGGATTCAAGATGCAAAGCAGGAGGAGGAAGAGACAGGCTGGAAATTAGTCCCCAGACCGAGAGGTGAAGAGACTGAAAGTCAGGGAAAATGCCAATGTGAAATATCGGAGACTTCCTTCACTAACGTGGACAAGCTGAGAACTCACACACTTTCTCACACTGAGCAGAAACCCTACAACTGCCCTCAGCTGCACTGTGGCAAAGCCTTTGCTTCTAAGTACAAGCTCTATAGGTAGGTAACTGCTGAGTGCTGCTGCCAGAAGAGGGGGAAAACCCCTCCCTCATGTTTTTTTTTGCTTGAATTTCTGAGAAGGTGGAGGAGGGGAAATGCCCCCGTTACCTTGAAAAGCAGTCGAGTCCCAGACGTTACCATACTTGGCATCTCTCTAAGCACCTTCCAGAGAACCTCAGATAATGCTTTATCTCCAGACAGCCTCAGATAGTACTTTATCCTGAGCTCTAGCTGTTTTGTGTTTTACTGAGGAGGAAATCGAAGCAGAAAGTGAAGTTCACAGATTAAAAACCAAAATGAAAACCAAGAACAGCATTCGCATTTCATAAACTCTAACTTTAATCACAGGAATATTTCTGTGGCAGCTGTTGTTCTGAGCATGAATAAGTAGAGTTCCTGTTTATGTACTGAAATGCAGCGTAGAATAATTAAACTGATCGGTAGGAACTTGAAACTAGATGAACCACAGTGCCAGAGAGTGTAAGACACCAGGGTGAAATCAGTCCACGGTGGCTGTCAGCAGACACTGCCCCAGCCTGCTGCCTCCCGACGAAGCGACGCCGTCTCGCCAGCAGATGAGCGGTTTTTGTCAGAAACTGCCAAGGTTTTCTTTGTCATTTCCCCGCTGACAGCCTCAGCAGAGAGAACAGGAGCTGAGCGGCGGACTAAAGTATTCCTGTGTGGAGGTGGTGGGTGCTGGGGAGGGCACTGCCGAGCCGGGCTCCGTACCTGGGGTCGGTGTCAGGGCAGCACCTCCCGTGGCGGCGAGATCCCCTCTGGGGGTTTTGTGGCGTGAAACGTAGAACACAAGGAAAATACTGAAAAAGTAGCGTGTGTTCTCTTAGGGGTTGGCCGCCGGTCTATAACGTTCCTGCTTTTCTCCCAAAAGGCACATGGCCACGCACTCTGCTCAGAAGCCTCACCAGTGTATGTACTGCGAGAAGATGTTCCACCGCAAGGATCACCTTCGCAACCACCTCCAGACCCACGACCCCAACAAGGAGGCCCTGCACTGTCCGGAGTGTGGCAAGAACTACAACACGAAACTGGGCTTCAGGCGCCACCTGGCCATGCACGCGGCTGCCAGCGGGGATCTCAGCTGCAAGGTGTGTCTGCAGACCTTCGAGAGCACCCAAGTGCTGCTGGAGCACCTCAAAGCTCATTCTCGACGGGCTTCTGGTGGGGCGAAGGAGAAGAAACACCCGTGTGACCACTGCGACAGGCGCTTCTACACCCGCAAGGACGTGCGGAGGCACTTGGTGGTGCACACGGGGCGGAAGGACTTCTTGTGCCAGTACTGCGCGCAGAGGTTTGGGCGGAAAGATCATCTGACCAGGCACATGAAGAAAAGCCACTCCCAGGAACTGCTGAAGATTAAGACGGAGCCGGTTGACATGCTGGGTCTCCTAAGCTGCAGCTCGTCTGTGGCAGTGAAGGAAGAGCTGAGTCCCGTCCTGTGTATGGCATCCAGAGACATGATAGGTGGTAAGAGCTTCCCTGGCGTGTTGCCGGTGGGCATGTACAGCACACATCTCCAAACCATGCCAAGCTCAGGGATGCCCCACTCTTTAGTTCCTAATTCTCTTCCCATGGGAATGAGCTATCCTCTGGAGTCTTCTTCTCCCATCTCCTCCCCACCACAACCTCCTCCAAAGTATCAGCTTGGATCTACCTCATATTTGCCTGAGAAACTACCCAAAGTAGAGGTGGACAGCTTTCTGTCAGACTTCCCTGGCAGCCTGTCTCTCTCGTCTGGTGAGCCTCAGTCCTCTTCGCCCCAGCCACCCCCCCTGGATGAGCCTTTGCTTCCCAAGAGCCCTGCTAACCTTTCAGAGGCTCTCTGTGCTGCTAACATGGACTTTTCTCATCTTCTTGGCTTCCTCCCTCTAAACCTTCCTCCTTGCAATCCACCCGTATCGTCGGGGGGATTGGTCATGGGCTACTCGCAGGGGGAGACGCAGCCACTGCTTACCACTTTGCAACATCAACCTCAAGAATCTCCTGGAGCTGGGGCCTCGCTGAACTTTGGGCCCCTTCATTCATTGCCCCCTGTCTTCACCTCCAGCTTGAGCACAACCACACTGCCACGTTTCCACCAGGCATTCCAATAAGCTGAAAATAGCACTGGAGAGCAGATCTTTTGGTCACCCTTTTGTGGAGAGCCTTAAAAACGCACAACTCTTCCTTCCCTTTGGGGTGCGAAAGCTTTGCAAAGCTGTTTCAGACAGGAGGTTTCTGATCTCTGGAGGGAGCACTTGTAGACTGGAACAGCAGATACCCCTGTGCAAGTCCCAGTCCTGTACAGCAAAAAGATTTCAGCTAATAGACTGGATATATTTTATCTAATTTTTAATCTGTGAATCAGGAGCCGCGCTTAGCACTGACCTTCCCTGAGATCCTGGAGCTATGTTCCTCTTGGGGAAGGGACTGTCCCTGAGAAGGAGTTGAGACTCTTTCATCTTGGGCTAAACTTTTGAAGAGTCCAGCTTCCATTTCATGTTATCACACTGCAATTCTGGCAGAACAGCCAACACCTCCACATGGAGAAGGAGGAGAAGTCAGGATATCCGCTCTGTATGAAGCCAACAGGGGGGAGGCTGTCCTTCCCCACTACCTCTCATCCCAGCACCTAACAGCTTCCTCCACCGAATGCAGCTTACTCCACATCAGTGTTAAGCCACGAGACTGTTTACATAACGAATTCAGAGATGTCACCTCAGTCTTCTTTGCGGAGCCGTTAGGTTAAACTCATTACAGTGAACATTGTTTACACAACGCAAATCTGTTTCCGCCATGATGAAAGTAGGAGGCACCAGAATACACTGGGTTTATGTCTGGTGTAGCTAGAACACTGTTTACACAATGAAGTCAGGTTGCACTGATTTCTCTTCACTTGTCATGTTCTTCCCCCATGGGGAAATACACTGCTTGGACCACTTCAGCCTCTGCCACTGTCGGCAGCAGCTTCCCGCATCTTCTCTCTGGCTCTCCACGCGGCGGGGGCACGGAGCAGCTCTCCAGGCTTGGCTTGTTTTGTGGTGAATGGATGGATGGATGGATGGAGCCCCGTTTGTTTTAAACATCCCCCGCCCCGAGGCAAACAGGTCGTGCACCTAGTCTGGAAACCAAAGCATGAGGAAAGGCCAGGCTGGAGACAGGCTGCAGGCCCCGCTCCGGAGGTTGCCTTGAGATGAGGAGCAGAGTACGAGGTTCGAGGGGTTTTTACCACAACAGTCCGGTGAGATCAGTGCCCTTTTGGCTTATCCATGCAGCAGTCTCGAGAGAGATATTTACCTCAGTCCTGGGGTGATACCATCCAGGGATTGGGCGGAAAAATTGGCCCCGGCTTCACGTACACTGTCGGTGTATCGGAAGCATTTTCCCCAACACTAAAGTTCTAACAGACGCTGAGGGTTTGGGCCTGCAGTCACCCTTCCACTCAGGATTTGGTTCCACCGGCCTTTTTGTTCTCGAGCCTTGCCTCCTGGAGTTCCAGCCCTGGTCCAGCAAGGGCCTCCTGCCCCACCTCTTCAGTTCTTCCACGGCCTGTCTCCCCGTTGGGGGCAGAAGGGTCATGCTGGGGGGTGGCCGCCAGCTCCTGATGTCCTTTAGCGCCTGGGTCGTCTCCTGCTCCCTGGTCCTGGGACTTGCCCCGCAGATGGTAACGGGCGGCGGGCGGTCTTGCTGGCCGTCGGTGCGCCTCGGTGAATACAGACACCCAGGGCCTCATAGCTCAGCGTGGAGCGGGCCGGTATCAACCAGGAAATCTGTCAATATTGTTCTCCGTAAATCTAGGAAATGCGAAATCTACCTCTACTCTGTTATCTCAGCTCCGTCAGCGAAGCCAGACGCTGTCCTCCCTCCTCTCCCCACAGTGCACCCACTGCCGTCAGCGCAGGCTGCTCTGCTGAGCCGTGGTCCCGGCGCGCGGCGGCCCTGCCTCCTTTGTTCATAGGCTTGTCCCCCTTTCCGTTTTACTCGAGAATTTTATTTTTAATTTAGCTTAGTAATTCTTCCCAGAATGACTGTTTAGTGATCCATTGATTTTCCAAAAACATAGATCAGTTGTTTTAGGTTAGCCAGCAATGCTGCAAATAATACTTTTGTATCAAAATGTAATATAAGATTTATTTACCTCAGCAATATCCTGTGGCAATGATCTCCCCGAGTTAAATGCAGTACTTCCTTTTCTCCACTGTAAAATGTTGCCTTTGGAAGTTCAACGAGTGCCTTCTTGTTCTCTAACATAGAAAAGGTAAATAGGGCATTTCAGCTAGTCTTCTGTTTACCGTCACTGAATACCTCAGGCCTGTCTTCTATTGCTTTCCTCTTCGCAAATTAAAGTTTCACACTGTTATCAATTTTATGCAAGCCTTATCCCTGTCTTCAGTTGAGAGGATTTTTTTTTTTTTTTGAGAAATAAATGGTCGGAGCTGATCTCTTACTGCATGCGAGGATTATCAGGTTTGTGCAGTGCCATCACACACCTCCTCCTGTTTCGGAACGTTCAGCCTTCCCGCTTTTTGCCTGCATTGTACTCTGAACAGATGTCATCACTGGAATTCCTTTAGCAGCAGTAGCTAAACTTAGAGCCAGGCATCTTTTTTTCCTACCAGTAGTCTGTCAAAGAATAAATGGAATTCATTTTGCTATGATTTGCACGTGTGATTTGCTTTCCACAGCTCTTCCAACAAGCAGAATCGCAATAACCTGTGGCGATGAGAGGAGAGCCTGACCCAGCGCCGGGAGCTGTCCCGAGGCGCCACGCTGGAGCCCAGGCCGGGTGTTTGCGCTGCAGAATGGGCTCAAACCTCCCATTCCACAGCAGTTTATAACCTGCGGGTTTTCTGTCAGCCCATCTAAAACTTAACAAGGCTACTTCCGTGCGAAATACAAAGTATGGCGTTCACAAAACAAATTGTTTCCTGAAGCGAGCGAACGACTGTCAGCTGTTCATAAGAAAAAAAAGACTTTGAGCATCTAAGCTGCACCCCTGGGCAGTCTGAGTTAGCTGGGGAGTACCGGGCTGTTACGAGACTTGGTGGAAGTCACCTGAGACGAGCTCCTGCCGACGCGCCTGCAGGTAAAACAGCCTTGAACTTGCCGCCTGGCGAGGAGATTGCTGCAGCAGGGCCTGGCAAACCTTCCGGCGTGTGGGCAGGACCGTGGGGTGAGGGAGCGGCAGCCACGACACTAGCTAGGTGATGGAAAAACAAAGTTTCATCCCAGAAAGGGTTTGGTTTGGTTTTTGTTGTTTGTTTTTTGTTTTTTAAGTCAAGGTTAGGGATTTTCGAATCAATGTGCTACTTTCTCTCCCGAGTTCGTTATTAACGTCGGGAATGGAGCCTGTGAGGGAGGATGGTGGATGTGAAACGGACCCACAGCACCGGTGCCCGAGCGTGACGTCACCCACGGGGCAGCTTTGGCCGTCGCCGAGGTACGGGAGAGTGCTCTGAGTCAGCCGGGACATGGACACGTGCAGCCACCCGGGGAGGCACAAAATACGGATGGAAGGGAGGAATTTCTGAAGCAGTAGTTTTGCAGAGGCTGGGTGAATACAGGCGAGGGGGTTCGGCTGGGCTGCACCCCGCGGAGATCTGAGACAGAGCGCCAGCTGCACGGAAGCGGGAGAGCTCGGAGGGTGAGCCTGTCGGAACCGGTGGAAGTCACCTGGGACAAACCTTGAGCCAGGAGAAGCCTCACGCTGGCCCCACCGAGGCCTTTGAAGGCCCAAATGAAGGATTTCGTGTCTCGCTCCAGGCACAGCTGTGTCGGCACGGTGGCGTCGGGCTGGGCCCGAGAGGAGCAACTACAGTCGGTGGCTGGTCAGGAGGGTTTAGTTAAGGAATATTCTAAAGCGTGGGGGGTGTTCAGTGGGAACAGTGCGGAGAACTAAGACACACAATGTGGAGCTCAGGTCTGTGAAAGGGCGGGACGGGCGTGCCTGCCCTTACCCCTCACACCCGGCCTCTCCGCAGGGCGAGGACGTAACGGCCCACTGGGAACCAGAATGATTCCAGCTGGCTTTTTAGAAAATACACAAGATGAGCCATTTCGTGGCAGCGGAGGGTTAACTCACCTCGTCAGTCCTTCCCAGGCTCACAATTCCGGAGCTGTGTGAAAATCTGGAGATCTTTCTTTCTCCCCGTGGGATTATGGCTCCCTCAGAATCCGTTTGCGTGAAGGCACAACACATTCGCTTGCGTCTGCTTCCACTGGCTCGTTGTCGGAGCACCCACGGGCCCTCTCACAATAGTGCCTGCTCTTTCGCCTCAGCCTTGAAAAATGTTGTCACTTCAATGGGAATCCCTTTTTTCCCCTCTGGTAGATTGAGGATTTCAGTACTTTTGTTGGGAGCTCAGCTCTTTGTTCTTTAATTCCTTCCTTGCTGACAGGTGAATAGCAGCTGCTTGGAAGATTTCCTGCAGTTCACTGAAAAATCCCCATTTCCTTTCTCTACCATTGCATCACCTTTTGCTATCGGGAAAGAATAGCCCTGCAGAGGCATTTTCTACTGCCTACAATTAAATTTTTGACAAAGAAATCTTCAAAGATGCTCTCCCCATCACCCTACCTTCTTGCTTATCCTCTCTAATCCCGGTTACTCAGGCTCACTGAATTCTCCCTCGGGTGCCTATTTTTAGTTAATTGCCTGCCCAAGCCTTGCAGATATTCTGCCACCAGAGCGAGGCGGATGAATGGCTCGAACAGAACCACTTCATAAAAACTTTACGGGTTTCCATCTTCAGCCAAAATCTGCTTCTCATTCATAACCTATTTCTTGTATTTGTCCCAGTTCTCAGAGGTGGGAGTCGCCCTCTGAAGCTCTGATGATGGTCCTGCCCGCTCGGAGCAGGCCCTTGGGTTGTGCTGGGCCAGGACTGGGTCACCCCGGACTCTTTTCTCTCGTGCCACCCAGCCCGGCCCCGCTCACCCTTTCTGTGCCCGTTTCCCCAGACGGGCCCCGCAGCAGCACGACCCTCCCCTGCAGAGCTGCTCAGGGAAAGGCGCTGCCGCCCCGACCCACCTCCCTTCCAGGGCTGCCACGTCCCGTCCCCCCAGCACATCTCCGTGGGCTCCTCCCTGGTCACTGCACACCCCATGGGGCTCCCCCCGCGCTGCCCCCCCACCCCTGATGTCCTTGTTTCATCCTGCTGCATAACCAGGGTCCTGCAGGAATCCCCCCCACGTATTTCAGCCCTTCCAAGCGCTCGCCCCCACGTTACGCCACAAAGCGCTGGAACGGGCCGAGCAAAACCAGGTGGTAATCAGAGAGCGCTGCCCCGTAGGGAGAGCACGTTCTGCTGCTGACAGGCCCGTACCAGGGACTCGCCTCGCCCGCCCGTCTGTCAGGAGCACATTTTACTCCTTACGTGCACAGGCGAGCGCGTGGGGGGGGGACTGAAGCGTTTTCCTCGCTGCAGTGGCGGCAGCGCAGCGCCCGCGAGGACGCGGGAGGTGGAGGCGGCCGCAGATCGCAGCGACAGGGAGGGTCAAAGGCATCGCAAAAGGTAGAGAGCAGGGAACATGCAACCCGTTTTTTT